ATATTTGACAAAAAAATATGCTAAATTTGAAACAAAAAATGCGTACAAATAGTTTGTACGAAACATTATTTTTTATATTTTTTGCGTTTAGTAGTTAATTGTAAATAATTTCTTCAAGAAATAGAAATCTTTCCTAACATACCGAGAGTTCAATTACTGTTTTCGATGATATTATTTCTTTTTCATTGACTGTTTTTTCACTCTGACCAGTTTATATATCCCTGCATTTTTGTTTAATTTCCTTTATTCTTCCTTAATTATATTTTATTATCGGTTTGGTTTCTTTTACGGTATATCAACCTCAACGGATTACTTAATGCCGATAAAATTTTTATTCCTGGTAATAATTTTTCAAAAATGAATTATTCGTAATATTTTTTCTTTTACAAATGCATTACTGGTAATATTTACTTTCCTTCAAAAATGTATTACTGGTAATAACGTATTGCTGGTAATAGTTTTGATTCAAATAATTATTGCTGGTATTAAAACCTACTTTTACACTTTCTTTGTATTTTGACCCCAGTTTGGGGGTTAACTATTTGCCAATAGTTGCGGTCCTAACAGGTGCTTCCATTACGGGTCAGGATGGACCTGGAAACACCTGCAATTAAGATGTGGTTCCACGCTCCTAAAACCCTCCTGATCAGATGGCTTGCTGTTGGACTTAGTGTATCGTCTTAACCAGGACGCTTCATTTTCTGCATGTATTTTTTATCTTCCTTCCATTTTTTTTTCTTACACAGTCATTTTGTTTATTTTGCAGAAAACCACAGTAGTGTGGATCAAACACGGCTTAAAATATGAGTACATTCCGAAAATCTCTGAGCCTGATCCAATTTCTAAAATCTAAGTCTGAACATTTTAAAATTCTATTTAGGTTGGTTCGATAACTTCTCCGCAGTTCCTCGTAAATTGAGAATGTGACCAGGGATTATAAGGCTTCCTCTTTTATTCCTTCTTATAAAGGATGTTCATAAACTTCGTGTGCACTTTAAACAATTATAACTTCATTTCTATTTGCGATTGTAATAATTTGTAAAAAAGATTAGAAAGAAGTAAATCTATATTTTTTAAGGTTTTATTGAAATTTTATTGAAATTTCCACATGTCATCCATCATTAACAATAGAAGGGGTAATACTATTTTGCAGTTCACGTAAAAATTTGCCAACTGATTTACAGTAATGCCTGAAATCACATGAGGTATTTTAGCTATACTTAAAACTAGGTACATTAAACTTTTTAACACTTTTTACAGATTATTTCTATCGCAAATACCAATAAAGTTATAAATTTTTTAAAGTGCACACAAACTTTACGGACACCGTGTATGTACCGTGTCCCTCCTGGCCGCGGACGATTATGCCTCTCTACAACCTCTTCTCTTTTTAGTTTGTTATATTGCTAAGCCTACAACTCACATTTCGCCACCAATTCCCATATGCACATCAGGTTGTTGACCTTCTGTCTTCTCGCCTTCCTTTTACTTTCGAAATGTCCTCTTTCATCATTATGTGTCCCAGAAAATTCACTTGTCTCTTTTCTAATACTGAATATAAATGACCTTTTTTATTTCCATTTTTTTAAGACGTCTTTATACGTTGGTAACAATACTGCTATCAAAGGTTTTTTCTAAGCTTGTGTTCCGTCAGGAAGGAAGAAGATCAATTTGTTTTACTTAATTTTACATTCAGTTTTCTGTTCAGTGAATATTGAACTTGGGTAAAAAATTACAGAATAAATATTTATTAAATTCTGTAAGTACAATGAAATTTAAAACAAAAGTTGCTCTCATGCTTTTTGACCATATACATAAAATAGTTTCAGTAGTATTACGTCTGTAAAAAAAAAGGTACGGTGCTGCCAACCAGAAAATTACATTAAATATTGAATATCTCTTTGAATTCCTGGCATGAGAAGTTATCATTATATATATTATTTAAATTCAAACTCTTGTCCTTATCTTTGCTTTTATTATGATAACATTTCGACTGTTTTGCCATCTAGCATTTTTCAGTTGATTGTCGATGAATGTAACATTCTGGGACTTTCACACACAGCCATTTACTTAATCTATATGGAGTTAACGCGTTAGTAAGTGATTTGTGTGATATAGTAATTGTGTGTTTAATTCATAGGATGCGTAAATTTTGACTGAGTTGAAACATAGCAAGCATTAACTGATCAGTATTGCATATATCGACAAGACATAGCCATAGAAAGTCGAACGATAAAATTATATCGCTGTAGATTAAATAAATGATTTTGTTCGAATTTTGCAGAAAATTACTCGGATCGACCTGAATAAGGCCAGAAGGAATAATAGCCGAAACATTTTGATAATAAGATGAAGAAAATAGTTCGAATGTAGACATTGTATACTCAACAGGAAAGCATTGTTTTAAATGAATTATTCCAACATGTTGGCACATTAAAATCATTTATTTTAATCATTTGGAGATCAAAGTATCTTTCTGTGCATAAGCGGTGTATATATG